ATCCTAAATGGAAGTGGATACGCGTAATGGTAGAATAACAAATGATAGAGTAGACACAGCTACCTGTTTGGCATGTACCACGGACGGGAGCCAATAGAGTCAGAGGAAAACCGGAGCCGATGGATAAGAGATAAGAAATATTGGGTCACAATACTTATAATAGTATGTTCCAAATTAGGTTGTTCCACAGATCCAGCTTCGAAGCTGGATCCGTGTAGTGATGTGAAATTGGTTGAGAAATTGAACACTGCTACCTGGTTAGCATGTGTCACGGAGTTGAGCCAGTGGAGTCACACAGTCATTACCAGAATTATTCATCACTTCGTTCTCGCTCACTTTCGTTATGGATATCCGTTCCAAGAAGAAATAGAACCAAGTCTGGTAGAAACGATATATTATGAAACGTTCGAAATCTTGAAGTAGGTTTGGCTAGACCTAAGCTGTTATGTAAGCAACGGCAGCGGAAACCTGAAAGTACATCCGATTAATACAAGGAAATCGTGCGTTACAGAGCTCACCGTGGGGAATTGTGCCATTGCACTCTTTTTGAGCTCATTAAAAGCACGATGGTAGTTAAAGCAAAACTCAATTCTGTAAGTGTCCAAGTTGTTATATCTAGAGGAAGAACGTTCTCTAGAAGATCGATATCCCCAAATAACGGCGAGTGAATGAATCTCGACAGTACGCTTGATTGTGCCTGGTAGAGAAGAAGGACTCTTTTGTTACGTGGAAAAGATTAACGTTAGCCCAGCTTATGTAATTAACCTACCTGATCGATAGGTCAAGTCACTGCTTAATATCTGAAACTTCATGGTTCTGACAATTATGTCATGATGATGTTACCATGTCCTGCTAGTGCTCAATTAAATAGGACTGGTTAGAAACTGAACCTGTCCTGATGCAAGTCACTAGCGTAGGGTGTAGATGCTTTTATTCTGTGATTTGATGGTCACGTCCAGCTTGAATGTATCTGTGAGTATTCTGAGAGAAGAAGCAAGAGACAAGAAAAGTAAATTGCCGTTGTAAAACTGTCTGCTAATGAACCCCTACAGGTTCCTTCTAGGAAGCTACCGTCCTATTTCACTTACTAGTGTATTGAGCAAAAGTTTAGAGCGTATTCTATAAGAGACCATCTTGTAGTGAACAGCTGAATCTGAAATACAATGGTGGATGCACCGTTAGCAACGCTTTCACCGCACACTCCTCTTCTACACACACACACAGCAAGAAAAACACCGGACGCAGAGAAAACTTATATTCTAGAACCGGGGGCGTTTTTAGATAAAAGGGTCTCAGTTCAAATATATATATATACAAGCTCAAGGGGTGGGGCGAGTATTAACCAATGGGAAACGAGTTAGTCTGCCCTGGCATTTGATGTCTCGTTTCTCCGGGGTTCCGCCTTGTGTTGGCCTCGCTCTTCTTCCGTGTCTGTGTGAAGAGGAAGAAAATACAGAAGAATAAGTTTACATCAAAATGTCTGCTCGCTTATTGCCACTACAATCTTGAATCACCTCTGCGCAAATAATTTACTTTCAAACTTCCAGCATTGAATTCTGCCATACAGATCTTGCATTACCAACATGCTGACTGCCATGGATTGTTTAACAATTGCTTATGGTGAATACAAAATTTCGTAAGCCGTGGATATAAATTTTGCTTCGGCCTTCGATAAGGTCCCACATTTCCCACTCATGCACTAGCTGGGTGCGTGTGGAATCACTGATTCTCTTCTATCACTCATTTGTAGCTTTCTCTCTCACCGCAAGTTTACTGTGAGTGTTAACGGTACACTATTCAGACTATCCCTACAACAACTGGTGTCCCTCAGGGATCTGTTCTCGGTTCTCTTGTCTTTCTTATTTATAGTAATGATATACATAGTGCATTACCTCCAAACGTAGCTATGTATGCATATGATGTCACCATCTGTGGGACAGATACCGGCCTGTTGCAGAAATCTATTGATGCTGTTGAACACTGGTCCATTGAATGGAATTTCCCCATCAATGATGACAAGTTTGTAGGTATGACTTTTGGGAACTCCCCTCCTGTCTCGTTTCATATAAGTGATACGCAACCTCTTCAGCATACCAATTGGCACAAGGTCCTAGGCTTCTGGTTAAATAGTAACCTCTCTTTTTCACACCATAACCAGTTAGCCAGCAAATCTGCCTTCCGTGTTCTTCACATTTTTCGAAGGTCTTTACCCCATATCGCCAAGAAAGACTTTACACTTATTTATGGCACCCATATCCGTCCCCTTCTAGAATATGATAGCCACGTTGTTCATTCCGGCCTGATCCGTGATTGTGATGCTCCTGAACGCGTTCAAAGAGTGGCAACAAAAGTGGTGGTTGAAATTAAACACCTTCCCTATTTTGAACGTCTAGTGGAGCTTGGTCTGTATCCTCTGGAAGTCAGGCAAATTAGGAGCGACTTATTTCTTCTACACCACTCGTTTTCTTCGTGCCCTGTAGATAAGTTTATTACTGTAGCCTTTCAGGGGTGGAACACGGGGTCATAGCAAAAAGTTATACAAACCCCAACCTTGCACAACCATTCGCACAGCTTTCTTCACTTTCAAGGTAATTTCACATTAGAATGCATTGCCCGAAGAGATAGTCTCCTAAACAAGCAAAGCGTCCCTCAAGTTTCGACTTGGGCGGTGGTGGCCCGGTGGTAACGGCACCAATTGTCCCCCCGGAGGACGAGTGTTCAAATCCCACCACCAAAGCCTGACTTTCCCCAATTGTGTATTTTATGGCAGCCATTTCATTGGCCACTTCCCCTTCCCTGGAAATTGTTTCTTTGTATATTCAATAAAAGAAAGTAAAATGAAAAGAAAAAAGAAAAGTATCTAGGTCTAACTACCTCCTCTTGAGCCTCCAAAAACCGAAACAAGCCAAAAGTACTAAATCCCATTTTATGCATTTATGCCTTTGCCCATTTGCTATTAATAATGTTGGCAGAATAACTAGCACCACTAGTCCCCAAGCAAAATGATATATTGCCCCTTCAGTCTCTTCTGATTTTCCAGTTCCATCCTCCACGATCAGACAACAAGAAACCGAGACCATTGGACGTCAGCCTCGAACCTGAGAGTTGCAGCGGCAGTAGTCAGTGGAGGGTCGGCGCCCTATTGTGAATATTCTATTTCCACTCTAATCTTTCTCTATTTCATCTTTCCTTCCACAGGCAGCCAGATCGCTTGCGTTGAAGCTGGTTATCAACAACCAGAACCAGACTAAAGGAACCATGAATACAAACAGTCATCAGTCCCCACGATCCCCCTTGCATCACACCGATCGAAGATTGATTGATTTGTTCCTACTACACTCTGCCCTATGCTAGTCTGTCTTCTCGCTATCGTGGTGTTTTCTGATTGTCTTATTCGTGTATCCAGTAGTAACTAGCAGCTGTTGTGTTCGCCGTTTCATACTTGTGCTGATGAGCGGGCATTCCCAGACCGATTCATTGTGTATTACAAATTTGACGACGGGGATGAGATCGAAAAAAGCCAGTTCTTGTCCAGATCAATCGGAAAGGGCAGAAGTGTCTCAAGACGTTCGCACGCGACTTCCATACTTTCCTGTTCCTAGTGGCAGCTAACCACGGTTGGAACCCCCGTCGGTAGTCGATGTGGGAACAAACCTGCGGCGTTTCCGCCGAAAGATGTGTCGCTACCTGTCTTGGCTACCAAGAAGAGGGCAGTCTGTCTTTATTTTGGACAGAATCAGTGAAAGGCTGTAGGATATCCGATAGGAAGATAGTACAAACGACAAGACGCCGGGAGAAGAGATATGGAAGGCCCTCGAAACCTTCGCAGAAGAGCCAACTAATTCCTCTGTTCACAAACACACATTTTGGCGGGGGAGAGGGTGCAGATGGAGAATGAGACCTTCGGAGAGTGCGCAGCCGTCATCGGGGGCCTGGTCCACAAAGCTTTTGGCTCCAAGTCGCTGGGGTTTAGCCTTGGATGAACTAAAAGACGAGTTGCGGAGTGAGGCTGTCCGACTGGATTTAGCTGCA